GGGGGAGAGCCGGTGGCCGCCGCTGCCCACGCACCTGCACAGATGACGCCGGCGTCCTCCACGTGCCTGCAGTTGTGCACACCCCAGCCATTGTGCCTGCACATCTGGAGGGAGGGCTCGTCCCCGCGGCACTGCACGTCATCCAGGAAGATGGGCCCGGAGCCGCGGCCGAAGCGTGCGCTGCCCGGGGCGGCCGTAGCCTGGCCGCAGCCCAGCTGCCGGCACACCACCTGGGCATCACTCAGGTCCCACCAGTCGTCGCACACCGTCCCCCAGCTGCTGCCGTTGTACACCTCCACACGGCCCTCACAACCGTTCCTCCCGTCAGACAGCCGCAGGTGGGCACCTGGGGTGAGGCACATGGGCTAGGGTCTCTGCAGCCCAGCATCTAGTAGTCCCCAGATCGGCCCCTACAGTAGGGAGCCTGCATGGTTGCTGCAATGCCAAGGATATTTCTGGTGGGCGCATATTGCCCGTTGAATATGGCTAGTCTGTGGTGGGCACTCAAATTACCGATGCAAGTAAGAATTTGGTGTCAATGAAAAAGGCTCTGAACAGTCAGTGCATGTCACGCACCCTAAATTAACCTGTCTTCAAGGAGCCCTTGTTCTATGGCACTTCACATCATGTGGAGGTCTTTCATTCAATTGAAATGACCATCGTGACTTCTTTGGTTCACACAGCCATCTGCTCCCTGGGCAGGAACCACATGCCCATGGAGGTCTTACTTGCATTACAAAACATTTGGTGCAGCAGCTCTCTCTTTTCCAGTCACATCCCAAATCCCAGAGCATGTCTAGGAAATAGCTATGTTACTACCCATGCAGGAACTGGGGGGGGCGAAGGCAAAATGATCCCCTGTTGCAATCCCCCCAGTTGCAGTCAGAGGAAATCCCTCCCCGAACAGTTTCCTTCACCAGCAATGGCTACAGAAGTCCTGGCCCCAAGCCTCAGACCCCCAGTTTACCAGCTCTTCTCCATGCTCTGTTTGCATCCTAACTGTGGACTTTGGTGCCAGGAATGGCCTAACTGGAGTGGCCCAGGGATGGGAGACTCCTTCCAGTGCAGTCAGGCCTGGGAAGGGAGATCAGGGGCACTAAGGAGAACAGTGAGTGACAGTGGACACGGTTACCTGGTGTGCTCCCCTCTGCTTTGGTAGCCATTGGTGCTGTGGTGGTCATCTCTTCTAAGGAGGTCGTGTCTGCTATGGGGGTTGTCGGCGCTGTGGTGGTTGTCTCTGCTAGGGAGGTCTTTGGTGCTGTGGTGGTCGTTTCCGCTAGGAAGGTCATTGGTGCTGTGGTGGTCATCTCTACTAGGGAGGTCATCTCTGCTATGGGGGTTGTTTGTGCTGTAATTGTCTTCTCTGCTAGAGAGGTCATCTCTGCTGTGGTGGTTGTCTCCTCTCTGAAGGTCATCTCTGCTATGGGGGTTGTTTGTGCTGTAATTGTCTTCTCTGCTAGAGAGGTCATCTCTGCTGTGGTGGTTGTCTCCTCTCTGAAGGTCATCTCTGCTATGGAGGTTGTCTCCAGTGTTGAGGTTGTTGGCACTGTGGAGGCTGTCTGCGCTGTAGTGCTGTATCCTGTCAATATGAAAGAAAAACACCACCCACATGAGGACCATGCTTGTGGAATGGGTACATCTGTGTGTTAGCTACAAGCCCAGTTCCTCAAGAATGAAGTGAAATCATGATAAATTACTCTGATGGCGTACTCCATCTCGACTGGGGTCAACGGAGAGAATGGAGGTGGGTAACAGTCAATTGAAAATTTTTCTTGAAAGTGATATTTCCAGATGGTGACAGCAGGGACAGGTACTGATGTGGCATCTGCTCCCAGCCACAGGACACCACGGCCCAGGCGCAGCTGGAGGCTGTCCTTTACAGGCTCCTGCCATGAAGTCAGGAGCTGTAGGATTGCTGGCAGCAGCAGGGCTTGGACCTGTTGCCATCGCAGACGCCCTTCTGCAGAGGCTTAGGTCATCCCCAGGAGCTGCCTGGGCAGTGGTCTTGGGGTGGTGCTTGGTGCAAGGCCAGGAGTGGATCAGGCCAGCATGAATCACCTGTTGAATACAGCCAGTCTGTCATAGGCACTGGAGCTACGAATGCAAGCAAGAAATAAATGGCATTTAAAAAGACACTGAACATAACACGCATATGGTAATAGAGGTATTGGAGCAAGTTTTGTTGCTTTCTTCTAAGTGCAAAGCACTGATGTAGCTAGCTTTTTCTTCTAGCATGAATTCAACTCTCTAGACTCTTCCTCTTTGAGGAAATGTGGAAAACTGCAATATATATAAAACACCTGAACAATCTGTTGTTGTCAGCCATGTCTCAGTTCATGATGATCTGTTCTTAATACAGGAGAAAATAACATACAAATGAGCTACCTTTTCTTAAAAAATAAGGAGAAAGTAAAATCAGAAAACAGCAAGGTGACAGAGTACTCAAAATGGATGGATATTTGTAAAGGAAAAGAATATTAATGGAAAACTTGAAAAATAGAGAAACAATGCAAAGTGAGTTGTCAGCTATGGCAGTTTGGGTTGTGACTGTGAAATTGTTATTGCCCATAATGAATGCATTAAGGCTTGCAATGAGATGAGTTTCACCTAACCCTATTCCTCCCTGATGAACATTGCCTATCAGACATAGCTTTGCCTCTAATTTCGACTTGTTTCCTTATTGTCCTTGTCACTGCTGGGTGATTAGATGTAATAAAAGTTCTGCATATTGCAATGCATATCTGATCCTTGGGTTTTTAAATTGGTTTGCATGGGGCGAGCAAGCACAGCTTGTATACTACCCCAGTGAGAAAAACATGAGTCCATGCTGGCTCTGCAGGGTCAGTGAAGTGAAAAGACAGGGTTGTTAGATCAGACTCTGCTTCTTGAGAACAGGCCTTTTCAGAGGGAGTGTGCCCTTCCACAGATAGAAAATTCTTCATAATAAAGTAGAAAGAAAGATTAGACATATATCTGGTATATCTGGTATAACTTTCCACCATATGCCTTGAATGAATGAAATGTTATCTCAGGAGGAGAATGTCTGCATATCCCCATGCCGACACATGTATATTGAGTGGAATTTATAGCAAAAGTTTTTAGACAAGAAAAATGTGACAGCACCTGAACAGACAACACCAGCATCTTCATAGTGGGCACAGTTGTGTATCCTCCATCCAGAGTGTTTACAATGTGACAAGGAGACCTCATTTCCGCTGCACTTCACATTGTCCAGCAGAATGTCACCCAAGCCTTGGCCAAAGTAAGCACTTCCTACAGCTGCAATGGCCTGGCCACATCCCAGCTGCCTGCACACGACCCGGGCATCAGAAAGGTCCCAGAAATCATCACAAACTGTCCCTGGCTGTCCTTTGTAATAAAGCTCAACGCGACCTTCACATCTGTGCCTTCCGTTTACCAGCTGGAGACGGGTCGCTTTGGGAGAGAGGTAATTGAGCACACAGTCAGACAAATAAGCTGGAAGTGACCTTAAGAAGTCATCTATTCTTTCCTCTCACTCCATCGTTCCTACTAGGTGCTTGCCTAGCCCAATATTAAATGTGTGTGAGGACAGAGGTGATACACTCCTTTTTTCTCCCTCTCTTCCAGATCTCAAAATCAGCTGCATATATTTTATGCAAGATTTCTACAGAAAATTTAGACAGCAGGCTAAGCACAAACTATTTCAGCAAGAAAGGAAATTCTTTAATAATAAGAAATGTATAATAGCAAAGCAAAGGAGAGAAAATGAATTTCAGTATCTGAATGAAATCTAAGTAAAACTGCATTAAGAAAATAGCACTAATTTTTTTCACTTTGTTAATAGGAAGAAAATGGCATGTTTTAAGAACACACTTCATGTTTATATATTTCTTTTATTCATTGTTATCAAAATGTTTTATGCTAAAGAACAAGGAGACATCACAATTTGCATTGGATCCTACTGGAATTTAGGACGTACAGCACAGCTTTCCTGCCATCAGCCTGTGTCTTACCAGAAGCATGTATGTGTAGCACTTCTACATGATGTACGAAGCCTCTGCTGACCTGGGTGCAGGGAGGGAAAGCAGAGCAGTGGCTCAAGCAGATCACTGAAGCTTCAGGGACACAGCAAGATGCAACTTGGACAGCCAAGACCATGGCTTTTTCCTAAACTTATGCTCATGGGGCTGCTACAGTGCTGCTGTATAAAAATTACCAGGCTGATAAATTGCAATTTATGAGATATTATGCACTACTGAAGGACAACAAGCAGTGCACTACTTTGCTTAAAATGATGTCAGAATTAGGCCAAATGAATCCTTCAGAAAAACTGCGGAATTCTAGAGAAAAAAATAGCCATTCTTTATTTTTCTCCCTGTTTTATGCATTTGAACTAGAATTTCTCTTCTTCCTCTAAAATTTTTAGGAGAATTTTACGGAACTAGAGTCAACACATCACAACCAAATCCTATAGTTTTAAGGAGTAATTTTAGTGGAAGAATTCCACTAAGTATTCAACAGAATGGACAATGGTCTCAACAGGATTATAAAAATTTCAATAGGAATCCAGTGGCTTTATTTCTTATATGCCAGTAAAATGTTATTAGAGTTTGAAATAAAGACATACCTAATAACCTATCAGGTATACATCTGATTACTGCATTCATTCAGGTAAAGCCCATCTGCTTTCCAGTTTGAGTTAGCTTGTTTAGACATTCTGCAATGAACAGTATGAAAATCCTGATTTGAGAGATCCATTTTTGGTGAAGTTTATTAAAGACTTTATCACTAAGTGTAAGTGAGCAAATAATTGTTGTAACTTAAGATTTGCAGTATTTACACTTTGGAAATCAAAACATGCACGCTGTACTTATCATACTTTGCATTTCTGCCAAATACATATTTAGCTTGTTATTAAACACTGAATAAGTCATCCAAAGCAAAACAAATCTGAGAAGTTAACGGCTCCAGGATTTCTTCACTGCATCTAATTCTTTGTTGTTAGACTAGAAGAACAGTCAAGACAGTGTCCAAACTAAATTTGTCCCTATTTGTATGCATTTAACCGGCAGTTCAAAGGGAGAAGCTACAAAAGTGGCCCTTGACGTATATGATTTGTTTCTTCAAATATCTACTTGGACATGCACATTTTTGAACCACACTCATAGGATTTTTGAGAACTGAAACAGCAAACCTGGCAAAAAGTCAGAGTGAGATTAGGAAATTAAAGCTGATCTAAAACAGTTTTATTTGCTTTCATTCAGGGTCTGTCATCACTGTGAGACCATAACCATCAGCTGGGCATGTAATTAGATAGTTTGCGTCCTGCCTCTACACCTTAAAGGTGTCAAAAAGACAAAAGTCTGTGATTATACAAATACAGCACTTACTCTGATCCAGGAGACAGAGGTAGGGGCTGGGGAATGAAGCCAAGAGCAGAGAGAAGAACTGGAGCAGCAAGATTGAGATGGTTTATCACCAGGCAAGCAGAGGACAGATGAAGAAAAATGGATGAGGTGGATGATGGCAATATAAATTATCATAATAATGCTTAAATAACTAGTTAGAAAAATCATCTGCAATTATTCTAGGTTATACATAGAACTATTTAGCTCAAAGTGACCTAAGTCACTTAGGAGATAGAAACTAATCATGTAAGAAAAAAGTCAATGCAAAAAAAAGTTGAACTAAAAGCATTTCATGTCTTTCATTATTTTTAGATGTCCTTCATTTATCCACAGTGCTAGATTATGAAAACTAACTTCTTGCAATATTTCATTAAATTGTACATAAGACCAAGAAGAATCAAATAATACAATCAATATTAGATGTATAGCATAGGTATGTGTGCATATACTCTGGAATAAATATACATTTAAAAAAAAAATTCTTCCGTAATTCTTAGATCAAGTTTCTGGAACTGGAAGAATGACTCGTTCATAACATACTCACAGACACAAGTATCTCAATGATACAAGACACTAAGACAAGTACTACCTGTGGCACCAAAATGAACTCCACTAAATGGTTTAAACCATTCTTATCATTCACTAGGATGATTAGTTCATAATTTTAGTAGAACAAAACTGTGCTCTCTCTTTCATCCAGTTTCCCCTTTAATCTTTTGACCAAACCGATACAAGCATGAATATGATTTCTATTCGCGGAATCAACAGAAAGGACCCCAAACAGTCTTTATATTTTTTTTTTTTTTGTGCACCCTGGAACAAGTCTAAATGCTTTACCTGATTTGGCCTCTAGAACTGCTGGACCTAACAAGAGTAGCCATGTCAAAATCATAGTGGTACCCATCTCATCAAGTGCTGTTGACAGAAAGGACCATCAGAATATATAGTCTCTATTTCTGAAGGGGAGTGGCTCTATACGTTACTCTTTCTACAGGAGAACAATAAAACAACCACAGTCCTATGATCTGAAACAAAAATATGTTTGAGTTGTTATTCAAGATTTTGTAACTTCCTGGGTTTTGCAGAAAGATAATATCTCAAGAGTAACATTTTCCACTGCCTGGAAGGAAATATTTATGCTGCTATAGGTTTCACAATAATCTCATTGTACATAGAAAATGAGCTCCTATCCAAAGATAGCTTCCAATTCTGGCCGATGAATCTCAGTATTTTTCTTTTATGGGGAGATTCCTTGCCAGGTCTGGGGAAGGTAGTGGAATCTTGAAATGTTAAAGGGTTTCCTCAAGTAAAGTAATAAGAGAGCTTCATAACTTGGTTCCAACTAGTGAGGCAAGTGTCCCTGGTGAGCCATGAATTTCTTACAGGTTTGGCATACTCAAATAAAATAAGATAGGACCTGGTGGCCCTGTTCAAGTATGTTTGGGGGGGTCTCTGAACATAACCCACCAAAACCGTGGCTGTTGCTGAATGCAACATGAAGATAACCGAGACACACTTAATTGAGACAGTTGCATCCTATCAAAATTGCTAGCTCCACCACACCATCAATTCCTCTGCCATCAGTAGCAGAGCCAACAAGAAGAAGGTTAAGGTAGGAGGTGGCTGCAGCCTCTTGGTGGATGTAGGAACTACTGGAGAGGCAATGTGATGGAGATGTGAGGAAAGGAGAGGAGGCAATCAGTGGTCCTGGGCTGAGCTACTAGTCTAGGACCTGGGGAAAGAGAGTTAGAGTGGCAGCAAGAGAACCTGACTTGAGAGAGGCATGAAATATTGCTTGCTAGTTTCCTTGCTTGAAAGCCACAGCCATAAGTGGACGGGAGCACACACCATAGTGTGTAAGTGATAAGATTGCCTCAACACATGAGTGATTTGCTCCAGATAATTAAGGAGAGAGACTGAACCAAGCCTTGTAAGCAAATCACTATGAGATACCTGAAGAACCTTGCAGTTGAAGTCAACACTTCCAGCCCCAATATGAATCCGTTCCTTCTTGGCACTTTTAAGTTCAAGTCAAAACTCTATTCACTGAGAGACTGTTAGATTGTAAGAAAGTGTCAAGAGAATCAGGGTCAGCTGATAACTTCTTGTAAAACTGTGCAGAAAATCAGTGGATTTTATGTATAGTTAAGTAAATTACATAGATTGCAACTTAACTTTATTGTAAAATTTCCTTTGATCTTTTGAACTATCAAATGGGGAAAAAAAAGGTTCAGATTTCTATTAAGAATATTTCTTAATATATTTCTTGTTTAGTTTTGCATAGTGACAATTACAGCTGTGTCATTCTTTAAGAATGAATCCAAAGCTTTTCCACAACATGAAATAATGCTTAATTCTCATTCATCACTCTCTTGCCAGAGTGGTCACTTTCCTGTGTTTCTGTGTTTTAACCATTTAACAAGAAAAGGCTGATGACCATCGTAACACTGAAGAGCCAGAATATTGTTCTTCATCTGATTCCTACTGCTACAGCCATCATGGCTTGGATGGCATTATTGGGAGTTAAGATTTGTGGCACAGTTGTTGCCATATACAAATTTATTGCCTCCAGGGACAGTCATCAAGGATGAAGGCTAAAGTCCAGGAGCCCAAGGGAAAAGTGACTTAGAAGGTCTTTCCACAAAGGCCAGCATTATTGGAGTGGAAGAAGGAAGTGCAAAACACAAGAGGCCAAAGATAATGCTGGAAACCTTGAAAGTGAACACTGAGAAGGGTAAATATGTTTCTTCTTTATACAAACAACCACATTCGCACATGAATGAGGAAATGTACACAACGCCTGGTATTCACTATTCATATTATTCTGGTTTTGACATCTTGGCAAGAAGCAGAAAAAATCCAGTATATTTGACTGACCAATCAAACACTGCAATCAGTGAAGCAAGAGTAAGTGAAAGATAGCAATTCTTCTCCAAACTCTTGTAATAACTGAAAAGGGTGGGGAGGTAGGGGAACACGAAAGTGATTCCCAGATGGTTCAAGTGAAAAAAAACATGTCAAACTGTCCAGGTAAATGAACAACACTGATTAATTAATTCTTCACTACATTCTTCACTAATTAATTCTTTACTACAGACTTCAAAGACCTAGATATTTCTAGATATCTTGATTATCAGACAATCTCCACAGAGTAGGAATAGAAAAATGTTATGTTCTGATTAATTTGAATTAATTAATTAATGCAAATACCATACAGCTCATTTTCATCCTTCCCATTGGCTAGATAAGTCTCTTGCAGTAATACATTTTTGCTCTCTAGGACTTCTTCTGACATCTTGAAGTGTTTCTCAGCACATTACTCTGTGAAAGAAGCTCCACCGAGCTTTGAAAACACTTTCTCTTCTACTGACTATTGTTAGGAGATTTCTGCAGACATACTGGCTTTTGTGAGGTCCAAATGAAAACCATTGAAAGGACATAGAAGTTTAATCAGCTTTTATCCATGACTATAAGATAGTATCTAGACTGGAATGAGGGTATCCACAGACTTCTAGACAAAGAAACTATAGTCTGAATCCATGCGTTAAGATGCAATGAGGCAGCTTAGTCTAATTTATTGGGTTCCTTGATGGCCTCTTGGGCTCTGCTGCATGTGTCATGTGAAGCATGTCATTGCAAATTGATTTGCATTTGTTTAATGGTGAGGATGCAAGGGGATCAGAACTGTCTACTACTGAGAGTCAAATCCACTGGATTTACTGGTAGAAGCTTTCCTCAATGTGGTGGGGCAGGAGGTAGGAAGGAAGGTTCTTGGCAGAGACACCATTCACCAGGCACATGTACTTTAGAGCATGACCCTTTCCTCATCACCAAATCCAGTTTTCTTGAACCCTGCTTTTCTATAATACTTGTGGATCAAGGAAGGTGACAGGAAACAAGGAGAATGATTCTGAGACACCAACTACTTGAACAGTTTAGCGGTGTTTTCTACAGCTACATTTAATATGGAAACCACTGAACTTGGTACTTCTACCTTGCATTCTGATACAACCTTGGTATATCTCCATCTGGGACCACTGGCAGAGATACGGTATGGGAAGACTCAGGTCTGAACAGTACAGGCACGTTGCAGATTGGAGGCACCAATATCCTAGGTCTAGGATCTTTCCACTTTTCTGATTACAATAATATTCAGAGACTAGGAGAAGTAGAAAAAGTACCATCAAGCTATGTTCTGAAAAATGGTGGGGTAGCAACACCACAGCAGCAAGGCCACAGCAGGAGCAGGGGCAGGAGAGAGAACAGCAGGTCTGGGAAGAGCAGAGGGGAAGGTCTTCTTCTAGAGAGGTAGGAAAGCCCAGGTCCAGAAAAGTCTTCACTGTGCTGAGGAGGTCACTGGATTCCTCCAAGCCTGGACGATCTCTGGTCCACACAACAGGACTAGATGAAAGGCAGGTCAGCCTTCTGGATTGCTCTGCCCTTCAAAGGTGGCTGTAGGCAGAGACGAGGGGGGGACCCTCCTCAATCCTTGTTCCTCATGCGTGGACAACAAAATTCACTTCCACTTTCTGTGGGCAATGCCAGTCCCTCCTTGTATGGTCCCTTCTCCATAGCATGCAGAGGTGACAAGAGGCCTGCCTGGAGTCACCAGGAAAAGGCAGCTTGCAGGAAGAAATGGTACAGGCTGTAATGATGTTTGCCATCAGAGCTGCCCGCATCCTCCTCGCAGGTCAGGATGTCGCCCTAGAGTACAGCTTACCCTCCTTACACATCACTACTTTGTCTCTGGCTCACCTCACACATAGTACATTATACTGTTCCCAATTAACCTTCCTCTTTCACAGCTGGCTAGAAAACAGGAAAGTCTGAAGAGGAGCATTTCTCAATCAAATACCAGTGACCTTTCCACCTGTAGTAAGTGGCTTCTTCCAAACAGATTCTTCCTTTATTATTACTTTTATTTTGTTTTCACGTGGGGATAGGAGACAGGTCACACTTCCTTATGGCAACTTACGTACATTCTCTTCCCACCCCCCCACCATTACAGGTGTAGAAATGCGTAAGAACAAAAGCACAAGCATTGCTTGGCAAAGTCAATTTTTCAGAAACCATGTTCTCCAACCTGAAAATGCGTTTGCTGGGAGTTCAGACACATAGGTGGTATGTTTGCAAGTACAGAAAAACAAGGATTGCTTGAAAAACATTTTCTTTCCTGTTTTTTTTAATTACACATTTACATAACAAATTTGATTATATTTTTCCTCTATACTAAATCTTATAAATGGACTATGTTTTCTCAGAGAAACATGTAATTGTGAAGAACCATAACCTCCAAATAAGGAACGCTATACAGGAGCAATTCCTTATATGCAGCCCTGTGCATTTTCGCTTATGGCTCATTATTGACATATTTTTACTGCAAAGAAATATTTTTCTTGGACTACTTTCCAGACTATCTCATGGTGCCACACAGGTGTTTTATCTGCATATCAGCAATGGCAAATAAGTCAGTTCTTCTTTCTGAGGTCACCTAAATCAGTCTTCTCAGACAGACACTCAACCAGGAACTCAACTGAGATGTTCTGAAATGTCCAGCATTGAAGATGGTAGCTTATTTGGATCCTGGAATAGAAGAATCAACCTTTCTTTAGACCTTAAGTGTATGTGCACTTGAGGATTTTAAAGCCAGGCTCCTTTATAAGTTCAGTTCATGGTAACACCGGGTTTCCCTTAGTATAGTACATCTTTCAAACAAGATCTGAATGGTGGAATAGTCAAGTAAGAGTTACCCTCTACACAGATTGCAAAACCAAATCATGAAGCAGATGGCTGGTGAAAATGTCCTTCCACCTGCAAGTCTTGGGTTGCCTCTCACATTATCTGGTACGGGATGGGATCCTGCAGTTTACGCTTCAAAACAAATCCTCCCACATTGAGAACAGCAGCTACCAGCACCACGGTGGTCACAGCCAGAGGAACGTGGGAGCTAGCAGCAGGAGCTGAGCTCTGAGACTCCCCTTTCGCCTGGATGTCAGAGGCCAGCTCTGTGCATAAAAGAGAAAAAGAGAGGCTTATATTTTTTTTACTGAGCTAGTTAATCTCAAAGGTAATTAGGCAAAGAGAATTTGAATTAAAATGTTGCAATATGGATCTGATCAGAAACCAAATTGCTTTATTTCACATTGTTTCACAAACGATCCTGTGGCCATGCCAAACAAGTGAAGATTATGACAAGAAGTTAAAGAGCAACTAAGAGCTTGTAATGATTACACTCTAAGACCATAAGATGCTGTTTTCTGAGAGTGGAAACAGCAGCTACAGGACACTGGGAAACAACATTTCCAAGGGGACCTACAGATTGGTTGCTAATAAATAAGAGACATGCCAATCAGGCACAGACAGCTTTGAAAAATTAATATAAATCCTGCAGGGAGACGAATTACATCTCATCCCTCTTCCCACAGAACTGAATCAATTGCCATTTGACATGTGCAGAACAAATAATGGGTCTAAACTATGACAGAAAGGAAATAGCTTGTAAACATTATAAAACAATTTTATAAAAAATAATTTAAAAAAAATCCCCTTAAGAATTATAGCAGAGTTATTAATAAACCAGAAAAGGCATATTTCAGAGCTGGATTTCATGCCTGAACTGACACAAAAACATACAGTAATATACAGTCTTATATTATTTAAGTTATTTAAACTTACCAGCATTCCTGTTCTCAGCGTGAGCTTCCCGAAGTTGAATAGGCCCAATAACAACATTCACTTTTTCCTGGGAAGAACCTGCATTTCTTTTGAACCTACTAACACAGCCTTTATAGCAGCGGGAAGAGTAGTCATTGTACCTGCACACCACCAGCTCACACTGCAGGTAAACTGATGGGTATCGATTAACAAACGAAAAAGCATTAAATGCAAACCGAGCAACATTGCCATATGGTGAATAGTAAGAAGAGTAGGTAGGATCCTTAACACACCTGGAAAGATATAAAATTAACAGATTAGCTATTGTGAATAGAAACACTGTTACACTATCTCTGTGCAATATGTTTCGAGTTTAAATACAAAACCAGAAGGTAAGATTATAAGAGAACTCAAAAGGATTTTAAAAAAGTGTGCTTTTAGCAAGAAGAGAAATTAAGAGACAAAAATAAGTAAGAGTGGCAGTGATTTCTACCACAATAATGTATTCAGCACAGAAATTTCATAGCTCAACAAAGTTCGTGTAAACATGAATAGCTGAAAAATAACTAGTGGTTCTGCTGGTTTCTGTGTTTCAGGTGAGGGTCTGTTTTGCATTTGCAAACAGTTAATCCTGTTTGCAAAGAGGCCCCTGCAGGTTGCTGCAGAATCAGAAAGGGCCCTTTCTACTCTGGAAGGACAAAACAAATTCTAACACACAACTTTTTTGGGCAAAAAATATGCTCTTTAGTCCTTTGATGTTTGTAGAACACCTTGCTTGAGGAATCTCGACACCTGCAAGAGATCTCCACATGTTTCACAGAGCAAGTTGCTAGATTAACTTTCATGTCAATGAGTTTCACTTCCTGACAATTACTAGCCTTAGAAGTTACCTAACCTAGATCCTAGTCATTCCAGTTTAATTTAACCACCATGAAAAAGGATCACAATAATTCACCCACAATTGTTACCCCAGAATATTTCAAAGTTGTCATTAATTACCTTTGTGTCTCAAAAAAAATTCCATTGTGCTCATTTCCCTAATAAAGACCCCAAGGATTTTAAGTCCTCTCATTCTTAGTTTATTTTATACTGCAGTGATATCCCAACACACCTGATATTTATAGGTGGATATTATTGATTTTAGATTCGGTTAATACATTTGCTTTTGACACAGTTCCTTGTCACATGAATAAAAATTAACTGGAAAATGATCAGAATCTTTTTGCCCCATCTCCCTGGTGACTGTCCTGCCCACAAAGGTAGACAGTGCTTCTGTGTCCTGCTTAATGAATATGTATTTTTATAGATAAAATAAAAAGAAACCCCAACAAGAGGAAAACCTTCTTAAGATTCACGGAAAGTGTGAAAGGGAGGACATTCACCCAGCAGGCAGGAGGCACTGTGTCACTTCATTAGCCTGACTTCCAGCTTAGCGGTAGGTTATTACACTGCTAAGGTTACTGATGTGAACACTCTCCCAGGAGGCAGAGAGTTTCAAATCCCACCAAGCGAAGAAGGGAAATAAATTAGCATGAGCCTTTCATTGCTGGAACAAAATGGAACACTTCTGTGCTTCTACATTGCTGTCAGTTTTGCATTCCTTAAAAGAGTCCACAACTTTTCCATTTCAAATCAAAAGGCACAATTTGTATCAAATTAAGCAACATATTTTAAGTTGTTAGAATAGCAAGAAAAGGCTAAGGAATTTCCTTTCTTTTTGAACAGACTGTTTGGTATTGTAGTTATGATGCTGCACAAAACTATTTGCAAAACTCTAATTCTGATGGACGGAAACGTAGAGCTGTTGACATCCCTACATTTCATGCATCTATTTCAGAAACAAATTCAGACTTCAGTTTCTACACTGCCTTCTTGAGGGAAATCTCAGTGCTTGACTGCAACCTCTGAATGGCATTTCTTTGTCATATTATTTTTTATTCAGGCTTTGCCAAAAAGTCTTTCTTAGAAGTATATTTGTATTGAGAATTGCAACTAACATACACTAAATCTCCTCTTTCGTAAGTGAAGTTCTTTCAGAACTATGCATAGAGATAGTTTTTAAATAATTCTTTAGAAATTTCTTACCCACTTCTGATCAATTCATAAGTCAGTGTTCTAAAATTGCTAGGATCAGGTGATGCCACGCATGTGTCCACAAACACCACCAGATTTGGGTCAGAGCTGTGAAGAGAAGCTTGAAGGAACAAATTCTGATTCAGGTCAACATAGTATGGAAAATCATGCACTGGCCACAGGAAAGACGAGGAATTGTAGAATGTCAAGTTCACATCGTATCTGCCATACTGGGTTTCACTGACATTAATGATGTCATCAGCAATGTACATTACTTGCACCCAGGTGTTCTGGAGCATTTTGCAGTTGATGTGCAAGTGAAGGTCCTTTTGCCTCTTGATGATGTAACCAGAAGCAGACACTTTTATTACATTGGAGTAGGTGATCGTTTCATTGTTGCCCTATTTGACACATTAGATGAGTACAAAATTACCACATGTAGTCACATTCACACCCTGTACTATAAAATTCTGTATGTGCCAGGTCCTAGTATTAGTCAGAAAGAACATGTCATACTCAAAAGTCCCAAGCATCCTGGATGGAATTGTTCACTTAACTCTCTCCTGTACTTTGCTCTCTAGAACATCGCTCTGAAATAGATACAGGGATTACCTAAAGCCTGGAAGGATAAGTAGGAATGTTTAACAAACCTTAGCCTCCAGAAACAAATGCTTCTTTTCTGTTTTGCATACCTGTGGGCTACAACACCCTTTGCGATTCATGACAATTTTCCAAATGTCTATTAAGTTTCCATGCCCAGACTTGGAGAGCTCTCCAAAATATGTTGACACCAACCTGTCTACGTGTACCACAGCCGTTGTATGGAATGTTGAATATAACCTCAGTTGATGTAATTGTTGGTCTACAATAAGAGTCGGACAAGCTGATGTTCCACATCGAGTAGCCTTGTGACTGGAGATAGCGTCTGTCTACAACTGCGCGCATATAAGTTGGCAAGCACATAAGGGCTAGGGAAGAAAATATGAATTATTAGTGTTTTCAGGTACTTGATAATGCTTGCATGTTACAGCTTCAACAAATGCAATAGCTACTACCATTTAGGGGAGAGAATTCATGAGCCAAATCACTTATTTTTACACCTTCGACTTAGATATGAATAAGCAATAGTCTCTGACAAACTTCAGCTGACCTTCAGTTACTCTCCTGACAAAAATATGTAGCTTACAATAGGCTTTTGCTGAGACCTTGAGCCTGTATCACCACTCACACAAAAATGCTAAGAAGTAGGGTTTTTTCCTGAATAAGAATCCAAAAGTTATTGTGGAAGGTGTAGAGCTAAACATGCATACTGGCTTGCAGAAACTCATCGCTCTCTACAACTACCTGAAAGGAGGTTGTAGTGAGGTGGGTGTCGGTCTCTTCTCCCAAGTAACTAGTGATAGGATGAGAGGAAATGGCCTCAAGTTGCGCCAGGGGAGGTTTAGATTGGACGTGAGGAAAAATTTCTGTACTGAAAGAGTGGTTAAACATTGGAACAGGCTGCCCAGGGAAGTGGTTGAGTCCCCATCCCTGGAGGTATTTAAAAAACGAGTAGATGAGGCACTTAGGGACATGGTTTAGTGGGCATGGTGGTGTTGGGTTGATGGTTGGACTCGATGATCTTAGAGGTCTTTTCCAACCTCAATGATTCTATGATTCTATGATTCTATAAACACTACTTGGGTGGGAGGGGATTTTGAAACCATCTCCATGACGGTTCACTGAGTCCATGATATGAAAAGCAATGATCCCAGGGAGAGTTTGGCCCTTGGTAGAGAGAGATATCTGATGACAGGGACCTACTGGCAAAACACAGCCTCTTGAAAGGCAGTTACAAAGACAACAGAGACAAATGTGAAGGCCGTTGTTTATGCCTGGGGAGATTGTGAGTGCACATTAGATAAACATTCCCATTGGGACTGCAGGACAGTGCTGGAACAGGTCACCCAGAGAAGTGGCTTTGAAGATTTCATCCTTTGAATGTTTCTAGAGACTAAGCTAGACAAATTCATAATGGACCTGACCTGGTGTGGGCAATAGCTCTGCTTTGAATAGTTGGACTAAGAAGCCTCCAAAGGTCCTTTCTAACCAATATTTCTATCATTCTATGAAAATCTGTCCACAAAGGTAGAAAAAATATATATGAATAATGATGTGTTAAGAAGAAATATTATTTTCGACTGGCCATCATAGAAAACCTCTAAAGGCAATTAATTTGATACTTGAAGATTTTTTTAAAATGAAAAAATAATTATTGTCTGAAAGTCATTGCTCAATAACCAGTTATGAAATTCAAGTAGGAATGTCATCTATGTGGGATTTCTTCAACAACATTAACAAACATTTATTTAGAAAATAAAATCAGGGTATAAAAGCTTCTGAGCAAAGAAAACGTTAAAAACAGAATGGAAACTTACTGATGTTCTGGTCTGCTGGAAAGGACTGATACTCAGCATGAAACCCTCTATCGGAATATCTGGAGTCACTGTGAAATCTGACAGTGAGAAAGTTTGAGGATGATGTGTACGTGAGATCAGAACTAGAACAAATTCTTCCAAGCAGAGGAGAAGTATTGGGTGGCCCATCATAGATCTCAATATAGTCATTCTGGCACCCACCTTGCAACCTGAGGAAGAAACATGAATATATAATAAAATGCTTTTGGTAAACTTTGGGGTTTAAGTGCTGAACAATAAACTACAATACTGCACTTACACAATTCCCATGTAATATTTATAATTCACTTATAAGCATGGGAAATGTGCTTGGGAACTGTGGTTGTAGTAGAGATTTGGGACCCATTTATTGCCCAAGCAGGAAGTGGTTACTTACTGAATACTTCCAAATGTGAACATAATGCGGAAATTATTCGTTACTTGTATTTGCCACAAACAATCTGCGTTATCTGGATAATTCAAAGGATAAGAAGGACTCTGAAGTGTTCCGGAGGAATTAAAAAGTAAGCCACCACAAATATATTCTATAGCTAAAAAAAAAAAAAGAAAGAAAATAAGATATAAAAGTGATGCATTTAGATTTACTTCTGATCAAATGAAAATACACTTTATGTATCCAAGCCATAGCAAAAGGAGGTTAAATCTCCAGAGAAACCGGATGGTTGTGCTCTTCTCACTCAGGCCACAAGTGCGATGATATCTTCAGAGAACTCTGACTTTCCCTTGCTATTGTAGCATTTGGTAGGCATAAGGCAAACATACATATGAGAGAAAGCAAGAGGTGCTGGCCCAAATAACATAAAATCCAGAGAAGAAAGAAAAGATTTCCCACAAAATCAACACGTCAGAAATCCCACCCCCAGGGACAGAATCAGACAGACAGAGGAGCAGTATGCAGGATTTAAACAGTTAGTACCAATGACGATTTCTTCTAAAAGTATTACAATGTGCAAAGGATACAACTCCAACCTATAAACCAGTAAGTAACACACCCCCAAAGTAACGCATCGGAAAGATGAAAAAAGCAGACAAACCTGGAGTAGTCGATGGTGGAGTGGGAACAGTGGTCGTGGCTGTGGCACCTGTTAGGGGAGGAAGAGAAAGAAGCAAGTGAGGACCTTGTGGATGAAGGAGCACGGCCAGGTTTTCTCCCAGCACCGGGGATGCTGGTGCCACCCTGTCACGTGGGCGATGGAGAGCCTGGGGGTCTCAGCAGGGTGCTCTTCCGTGGTGGGAGCAACAGAAAGCACCATCTTTGAACACGCCTCCAACACGTACCGAACTGTGGCCGACAAGGGCCACTTTTGGAAAGCAGACTGGTACTTAGGAAGGAAAAGCAATGGTACCTGAGCACACAACACCAGCATCTTCACCGTGGCCACAGTTGTGGACGCCCCAGCCACTGTGCCTGCACTGAAAGAGGGAGGACTCGCTGCCTGTGCAGTGCACATCGTCCAGGTAGATATTGCCAGTGCCTTGTCCAAAGGAGGCACTTGACGGTGCAGAAACAGCAAAGCCGCATCCCAGCTGCCTGCACACGACCTCGGCATCGTTCAGGTCCCAGCTGTCATCACAGACGGTGCCCCGGCCCCCGTAGTGGTAAATCTCCACGCGCCCCTCGCACCGGTTCCTGCCGTTCACCAGGCTCAGGGAGGCACCTTGGGAAGGAGGAGACAGGGGAAACATGGGAAAACCCTCTAGCACGCAGGCACCTTCTCTCGCCGGGGCATTGGCAATGCTCCACGAGTTTCAGGCCACCAGGACTGCCACCCTCGGCTTAATTAGGCCGTGTGTTTCCCTGGCTCTGCTCCCCCATGGAGAAGACCAAACGCCACCCCGTTTAGCCACTACCTGGTACCGCAAAAGCAGTGGCCAGAAAAACCATGACAAATCCAGACCCACCTGGAGGAACGGATGCCGTGAAGCTGGCTGGGGTGGTGGTTGTGGCACCTGTTAGGGGAGGAAGAGAAAGAAGCAAGTGAGGACCTTGTGGATGAAGGAGCACGGCCAGGTTTTCTCCCAGCACCGGGGATGCTGGTGCCACCCTGTCACGTGGGCGATGGAGAGCCTGGGGGTCTCAGCAGGGTGCTCTTCCGTGGTGGGAGCAACAGAAAGCACCATCTTTGAACACGCCTCCAACACGTACCGAACTGTGGCCGACAAGGGCCACTTTTGGAAAGCAGACTGGTACTTAGGAAGGAAAAGCAATGGTACCTGAGCACACAACACCAGCATCTTCACCGTGGCCACAGTTGTGGACGCCCCAGCCACTGTGCCTGCACTGAAAGAGGGAGGACTCGCTGCCTGTGCAGTGCACATCGTCCAGGTAGATATTGCCAGTGCCTTGTCCAAAGGAGGCACTTGACGGTGCAGAAACAGCAAAGCCGCATCCCAGCTGCCTGCACACGACCTCGGCATCGTTCAGGTCCCAGCTGTCATCACAGACGGTGCCCCGGCCCCCGTAGTGGTAAATCTCCACGCGCCCCTCGCACCGGTTCCTGCCGTTCACCAGGCTCAGGGAGGCACCTTGGGAAGGAGGAGACAGGGGAAACATGGGAAAACCCTCTAGCACGCAGGCACCTTCTCTCGCCGGGGCATTGGCAATGCTCCACGAGTTTCAGGCCACCAGGACTGCCACCCTCGGCTTAATTAGGCCGTGTGTTTCCCTGGCTCTGCTCCCCCATGGAGAAGACCAAACGCCACCCCGTTTAGCCACTACCTGGTACCGCAAAAGCAGTGGCCAGAAAAACCATGACAAATCCAGACCCACCTGGAGGAACGGATGCCGTGAAGCTGGCTGGGGTGGTGGTTGTGGCACCTGTTAGGGGAGGAAGAGAAAGAAGCAAGTGAGGACCTTGTGGATGAAGGAGCACGGCCAGGTTTTCTCCCAGCACCGGGGATGCTGGTGCCACCCTGTCACGTGGGCGATGGAGAGCCTGGGGGTCTCAGCAGGGTGCTCTTCCGTGGTGGGAGCAACAGAAAGCACCATCTTTGAACACGCCTCCAACACGTACCGAACTGTGGCCGACAAGGGCCACTTTTGGAAAGCAGACTGGTACTTAGGAAGGAAAAGCAATGGTACCTGAGCACACAACACCAGCATCTTCACCGTGGCCACAGTTGTGGACGCCCCAGCCACTGTGCCTGCACTGAAAGAGGGAGGACTCGCTGCCTGTGCAGTGCACATCGTCCAGGTAGATATTGCCAGTGCCTTGTCCAAAGGAGGCACTTGACGGTGCAGAAACAGCAAAGCCGCATCCCAGCTGCCTGCACACGACCTCGGCATCGTTCAGGTCCCAGCTGTCATCACAGACGGTGCCCTGGCCCCCGTAGTGGTAAATCTCCACGCGCCCCTCGCACCGGTTCCTGCCGTTCACCAGGCTCAGGGAGGCACCTTGGGAAGGAGGAGACAGGGGAAACATGGGAAAACCCTCTAGCACGCAGGCACCTTCTCTCGCCGGGGCATTGGCAATGCTCCACGAGTTTCAGGCCACCAGGACTGCCACCCTCGGCTTAATTAGGCCGTGTGTTTCCCTGGCTCTGCTCCCCCATGGAGAAGACCAAACGCCACCCCGTTTAGCCACTACCTGGTACCGCAAAAGCAGTGGCCAGAAAAACCATGACAAATCCAGACCCACCTGGAGGAACGGATGCCGTGAAGCTGGCTGGGGTGGTGGTTGTGGCACCTGTTAGGGGAGGAAGAGAAAGAAGCAAGTGAGGACCTTGTGGATGAAGGAGCACGGCCAGGTTTTCTCCCAGCACCGGGGATGCTGGTGCCACCCTGTCACGTGGGCGATGGAGAGCCTGGGGGTCTCAGCAGGGTGCTCTTCCGTGGTGGGAGCAACAGAAAGCACAATCTTTGAACACATCTCCAGCAGATTTTCTCTTTAGGCAAAGAAGTGCTAATTTCTTGGTTGCCCAGAGAGCTTGTAGATGTCCCATCCCTGGAAACATTCAAGGTCAGTTTGGAGAGGGCTCCGAGCCATCTTCTAGTTGAAGATGTCTCTGCTCATTGCAGGAGGTTTCGACTAGATCACCTTTAACGGCCCCTTCCTACCCAAACCATCCTTGATCCCACGATCCTATGAAGCTATGATGCTATGATTCTTGCTGTAAATGGCTGCTTTTAGTGAGTGACTACATTTGACAATGCAAGTGATAAACACATTCAGACGAGGTATGTTTTCCGTCGAGAGATGCATCTTTCGGGACACGGTGCAATCCACCTTGGAGCTTTGCTCTCTCCAGGTTTGCATGCCACGTGCCCATAGCCCCACGAGCATGACTGGCAAACCAATGCCCTGCGCTGGGGTGTGTGGTTCGCAGCACCATGCTCCTACCTGTCCCACCTGCCACCGGGCAGCTTCAGACCCCCAAGCTGGGATACTAACTAGTACAGACCAGAAGTAGCGCATAGACCAAAAACATGAAAAATGCAGACACACCTGAAGACATCGGCATGCTGGTACTTTGGGTCATGGTACTTGTAGCTGTTAAGGGAAGAAGAGAAAAAAGCAAGCGAGCAACTTTTTATCTTAGTAAAAGTATGAAGATTACCTCTCCCAGATCCATAAGTTTCACTTGAGGCAACCGTTTTACAAATGGAAAACAAAGGTGGTGAGTCTCGTCCTCCCCTAACAGATGCCACAAAACCCTCCCCAGCTGAAGCGCTTTTCTTTAAGAAGTGATGTATGAAGCCTTGGGTTTGAGTCACACTGTTACGTTTATATAACATATCGTTTATTCAAATCGTCCCTCACCTGAATAATACTCTGTAGTTCGTTGTGGATGTGAGTCAGGCTGCCTGCAAAAATTTCACACTCTGGCTTGCTTTTGGTGTTACTTTTTGGGCTTCTTTGTTCTATTATTTTATTTTTCTAAATGTCTCTTATTCTGATTTCCTTGGCTTAGTTTTTGTTTCTCTGCTTTCTATTGTTATAATTCAAGCATTTTGTACTGTCTTTTTGAAAGCAGTGGGCAAAATAGGCAACACACTCTATAGCCTTCATATCCCCAGGGATATGATGGATGTTGTTTGCTTGTTTATAGCTGCAAAGAACAGTGAACAGGCAGGTGTCCCGGTCAGAAGAAACTCCTAGCAGGAGCATAGCACTTCAGATCTCTTCCCTGAAGGAGGAGTGAGAGTTATGTCTTTTTTTTTTTTTGCCTTGCTCTTACAAGTGCATGAGCCTGAATTAAAGCAGGGAAGTCACTGTGCCAAGACAAGGTGAGAGGCTGGCAGGCATGATACGACTCAAGAGGTGTTTGCTGGGAATAGTAAATCCAGGAATTCATCCCTGTAAAATATCAACAGTATTCAGAAAGTCCTGCGCGATACTAAATATTGTTTTCTGAGAAAACCCAACCTAACTGAACACTGTTCTCATTTGCCTGTGTAAATGTGCAGACGGGATTGTTATAGTCTCCAGGTTTTTATTCCGTGTGCGTGAAAGTCTCAAGAGCGCAACTGTGAGCAAAATGCACACCTCTGGGACTTCGTGGTACCGTACAGGACAGCAACTGTGTCTTACTATTGCGCTCACATTAAATTATATAAAGTTAAATAAATATTGGGTAGTTCCACGTGCATCTGCAAGGTTGAATTTGAAGTCTTTTAAAGCAAAGATGCATTGCAGCCAAAGAAACTATATTCCCTCTTAATTCCATACTGAAAACCACAGATTTGTAGAAATAAAGTATTTCAACAGTATTTTCATGGAAGTATTTTTTTTATTTGATTGAAACTATGCTACAAGACACTACTGCAAAACAGTTCGAGCGATATTAATTTCATTGCACTAAATTTACTTCAACATGAATAATAGTTAATCATGATATCGATTGGTTCATATTTTTAATAAGACATCATGATGTTATTTAATTTCAGTCTGTCTTCTAATCTTTGCACAAAGTTGATTATACTATCATGTGAGTTACATGTATGGAACCAGTGTAGAGAAGTAAGACATCCCCTTTTTCCTACCCTTTTTGGAATAATGTTCTTTAAGTTTTTAAGTGGCTTACCTGAGGTGGCATCGAGGAGTGCTGTATTTAAGAGGAATAACCACAGCAAGTTCTTGGTGGTACCCATCTTGTCAAGAGATGCCAATAAAGCAGAGCATCAGAATTTATACCCTGTACCTGCAAAAGGTTGAGGCTCCCAAGGTCAGTCTGGCCCACATTATGTCTGATTTCTTATGCAATATTTTTATGACTACCTGATCTTTACAGAATGATTATATATGAATCATAAAGTTTTAATTTCCTGGATAATTTGTGCTACTGCCCTTATTATAAATGATCTTAACTGTATGTGCAGGTCCAGTGTTACCTTTGGAACCAGACTGGTGAATCTACGTGTTTCTTTACCCCCACTATCCCAATTTTATTTATTTACTACTTGTAGCTAATGACTTAATTAAGTAGACTGTAATGTATTGCAAGGTGAGGCAGCAAATTCATAGCAGGCTTTCGGATAAATCCTTCAGCAGAGAGCCCTGGTCTCATAAACGTTTATATTTATGATGGTTTCCACTTGAAATTACAGGCTTGTTTCCCTGCTGCTTGTACACAAACAGCACATCATAAATGGGATTATGCCAGGTATCAAAAGTAAATTAATGCCAGCTATTTGTAACATACCCTAAGTGGACCTCATCTGTGGGCCTCTGTTGACCTTGCTCTGCTTTACCAATGTCTTCCCTCAATCTACTGCTATGTTCCTTAGCTGAATTTGCCAACAAGATTTCCTTCAATCCTTTGGATCACAATGTTTATAAAAAGGGGAGGAAGTATGGGTTGAAGTAAGATCAGAAGTCCTGTTGAAATTGTTTCCTCCATTGGTCTATGTGAAGTCTTAATGGAGTTATAGATCGCTTAGGGCACAGCGGCCCATAATCCTGTTCTGCTAATCTGTTTGCTGGAGTCACTATATTCCACTTCTACTGTTTCTCCTCATCTGATGAGGAGATATACAGGCCAGCTAGAAACAGGGCAATTGTTGGTCTAGTATTTTATTCATTACACTTAATCCAGGCTGTTCATTTTGGCTGTGATACAAACTGCAACCAAACTGCAATAGTCGACATAACTCGTGATTACTGCCGGTATATTCCAACCTTCCTCCTGCAGAAAAGCACAGTTTGGGTCTAGAGACAAAGGAAATAAAGAGTCCTCTTTCTGCAAAGGTTCACAGTGCTAGAACAGAGGAAGGAAAGACAAAAGGCCAGAGGCCAGAAACAGAATCAGAAGCTGTCAAAGAAGTCGCTGAGAAGAGCAAACAAACTGGAGAACAATGGTAAATACAACTGATTGTATTCACATGTTAATAAAGAAATGTAAGCCTGAACATTGCTATTCACAGCTCTACTGTTCCTGACTTCCTGACAAAAGCAAAAACAATACCATGTGCTTAGTGGAGTCATCACACACTGTCATTGGGAAGGGGCTATGGGGTCATAATCCTGCCTCTAAATTCTTGAAAAATAAGACCTTTGTACAGACGAAGGAGCCCAAGCAGCTGGAAAGCAGTTTTGCGGAAAAGGACCTGGGGGTCCTGGTGAACAAATTGACCATGAGCCAGCAATGTGCCCTTGCAGCAAAGATGGCCAGTGGCATCCTGGTGCTGCATTCAGAGGGGTGTTGCCAGCAGGTCAAGGGAGGTGATCCACCCCCTCTACTCAGCACTGGTGAGATACACCTGGGGTGCAAGTTCCAGCTCTGGGCTCCCCAGTACAAAAGAGACATGGACATACTGGAGCAAGTCTAGCAAAGGGCCACTAAGATGATTAAGGGACTGGCTCAGGGGGATCTCATCAATGTGTACAAATACCTGATGGGATGGAGTAAAGACAGAGCCAGACTCTTCTCAGTGATGCCTGATGGCAGGATGGGAAGCAACGGGCATGAATTGAAGTACAGTAAATTCCATTTAAACATAAGAAAAAAGAATTTCACCGTGAGGGTGGTCAAGCAGTGGAATAGGTTGCCCAGTGAGGTTATAGATTCCTCCATTCTTCAAGATATTCAAACCCAACTGGACACAGTCCTGAGCAACCTGCTTTCTCTGACCCTGCTTTGAGCATGGGGATGGACTAGAGGATCTCCAGATCATCCAGCCTTAGCTGGTCTGTGACACTGTGAACAGAAAATTTATGGATGACATCAGGAGATTCAAGAACAGAGGAGGGCTAAATGTGCTGTGGTTAAATTCATCCACAGCAATTAAATCTGTTAGCATGGTTCTTTAACACAAACTTGGCTGTCAGAGTTCTTGCCAGGCCTTACCAATTCCAGCTTGCTGGTGCATTTCTGACATTTCCAGTAAATGTTCTTTAACTTATATGAGGACCTATGTCTTCAGGTTTGATAACAGGCACCTTTGATTTGCCGCCGCTA